GTCACAGCAGTTGGAGAATAAAGAGCCAAAGCCGAATGGGCCAAAGGCAAAATTGCAGAGGGCTCGAGCGTGAAACAAACCCGCTGACACCATTCGGACCAAATCCGGACAGCAGTCAGAAAGCGCAAGACGATGAATTAGAACGCGTGGTCTCCTACATCCTACATCATAACCGCTGCCAGCCAGGGGAACAGCGGACGCAACAACCTAAAAATTAAACGGCTGCCTGGGTATTATCGGTTATGAGCTATGAAAATGGAAAGTGTGCTTTGGAATGCTAGAGTCTGGCCAACTATCGCTGGTATAGTGAAGCCGCCGCCGGATGAACACTAGCTGTACGACGAATGGACTGGTTATCAAGCTTCCCGGTTTGGTATGCATACCCGGAATTCCAATGGATCTTCCCAACAACACTCACCCAGCTGACAAGAATATATCAGCAGGTGAAGCGACATACTGTTTCTGTTTCAAAAAAAGAGAAAAAGAGAAAAAGAAAAAGGTTGGGACGAACCTTGGTTTTGGCTGCAATGTCGAGAAAATATGGCTGCTGAGAACCGGGAAGTGTCATTTAATCCTGGCGTGGACATAAATGCACTGGTTTAACAAAAGAACTTAAGGCCACGCCCTCGGGGGTCCACCTACCCTGTTTATTATCCATGAAATCAAAATAATAGACCGCATGGCCCTATCCTCCTTCTCGTGTGGTCATAATGAGAACCTTGCCTATCCCTACTAAGAACACTCTGCATAATCCACAAAGAAATTTTACTCGATAGAAATTGCAACTTGACTCTAGACTAGCTTTACTTACCACTCGCATGGTTGAGCAGTGTGCGAACCAGGTTTTGAAACGAAATGCGAGCGGAGACGCGCTACTCTGCGCTTCGAAGAATTGTTTATATCGCTTCATTAAACGACTGACGGAGGGCCTACATCTTACAGAGCAAGCGCCGATTGAGCGAAATCGACTCGAGGTCGAAGATTTAGGGTATTAGGCAGCTTTGTTCGAACACCTTCCAAGGTTGGGCCGCACGCACCAAATTTCAACAAAAAAAAAAAAAAAAAAAAAGAAAATCCACAAAACTAGCTTCTAGCTCAGGCAAGGCAACGCTCAGGAAATTATTGTAAGCAATCCTGCTACTTTGAGAAATAACTTAGTTAGTGAGAGTGGGAATCACCTACAGCTACTGAGTGTGTGGCGGCTTTGCCTGTGAACGATTGAGGGGTTAGAACGGGCTAAGAATAGACCCGGCATAATATTGAATATCGAGACCCCCTAGGATAAGGACAAAAGAGCTCCATCTCGAGGGTTATAGTAAACTGGAGCCGCACCACTGTGATCGTCGAAGTAAGGTGGCTCGGTGAACCCATTGAGATTATGAATCCTAGCCACATCCCCATTGACTCGTGCGCGGAAGGGTGGTTCTGCGATACGAAAAGTAATATCCTCCCGAGAATCGACCTTGAGAACGGGGATGTTATTTTCTTCCGGTCGGTGGGCGGTTGCGTGATCGTAGTTAATATGGAAGAAGTCGTAAATCAAAAACAGGTGTCTTGGCCATTTCTGCTTCACCAAAAGTCTAGCTCTCTTGTTTGAATCGGGATCGCAGCTTAGTTTTTGCAGAATGTGTTCCAATGATGATTCTGGTGCATCCCAATATGGACTTGATCTGGTAAAGGATATGCACACTCGGATGGGTTTTTTCGACTGAAAATAATCCATCATCAAAGACTAGGGCACTGTTAGTAAATCTTTGTGTAACGTTTCAAGGCCTCTTTTACATACATTATTCTTCATTGCCCCTGGTATTCCGTCTGCTTCTTCCTGTAGATTTGCGAAAGCGACTTAGGGGTGATTCGAGGGGGCAGGAGTTCAGGTAGGTATGCTGAGCCTGATGGTTACTAAGGACCAGTTATGGAGCCAGTCATATATTTACACGTGTCATGGCCAGAGCCGTGTAGGCTCGTACGTACGTAACTCAGAAGCTCGCATACACTCTGTTTACTAGGTCTCGGTGGAAAGTTCTAATAATAATAGCAGTGTGTTCCACGACCTGCTCAATTTAACGACAAAAGCTTATCTACGTAGAGAACTGTAAAACCTAATATATATTTTATAAAAAGGAGTAGCTGAGCTGTAGTCACACTATGCACTTAGAAATTAAGAGAAATACAACAATTTTAGCTATAATCCTATTAGAGTAATATCGGTTGGTCCCTACAGCTTCTTCTCTATGTTGATACTTATCTAAGGAGTCGATCCAGGCGTAGGGTAGGAGCATTCTGCACATTTTCTAGTCCTCACAGTTTGCCAAATATTACCAGGGAAGTTTTCATCATGGTGGCCTCCGCAATCCACAGCACGAGCATTCTCAATAAGGACATCGCAACTGCTACATGCATATCGGGTGTATGTACACATCTAACGGAATATTTTAGTTGGTCAAGTAGCATGAGGGTAAAACTTTTATCCTACCTTTAGTTGTAAGAATCGTAGAATAGTTTAAAGTGTCCAAATCTACTAGATTACTTTGTTAATAGATTTATTAAATGTACTAGTTAGGAGAACATACCCTTCGAAGGTAGACGTTAAAGCTTTCCCTTAGGAATGGATTTTAGAAATCGATGAAATCCTGACTTCTGCTCATAATTATATATATACGTATATATTTCTCTCTGTTTCTCTCTACTCCTATACTAAAACGCTGCACAAAATAGCAAAATTAGACATTTTCGCTTTTTCTGGTTACAGTAAAAAACTATTTTTTAAAAAGCAATAACTAAAAAGAGGGCTAAATGTATATATAGAGTAGGGTTTCCGTCTAAAATTAGCTTATATTATTTTTGTTACCTACGGCTACTTATAATCATTGTACACTCCTTGAATAAAACCATTTCGATAAACCCTGTATCCCCCGTGGCGCTAGACTCGATGGTTTTGATTGTAAATATCTTAACAAATTCACATGCTATTATATTCTTAGATATTCTATAAACAGGCAATAATGTCTTTAACCTAAACTTTTCTCTTAAGAACTATGCACTGTGAAAAATACCTTGAATCAGAAAAATAGGGTTTATATAGGAACACTAGTAAAATATTCAAAAGTTTTAGCTTAATTTCATTCATTTTTCATGAATAAGCACCAATTCATTCGTAAATATATTTTTAGGTAGAATATAAATATAGTTTTCGCGAGGTGAGCTATTGGAGAAGGTATTCACGAATCGTGAGTCACGATATATCTTTGGGAGGTGTTAGAATCAAGTGACTTCTCAGCGCATCAGGTGGTACATAGTTGACCTAGCTACCTAAATGATTCCTTTAAAGGGATCACAGACCTGTGTGTAATATTTTAATAGAATTCAATTCTTCAGGGTAACAGGCCTGGCGCATGATAATGAAGAGATCCAACGCCACCGCGTTAAGCGATCTGGCCATGCCTAGTTCTTAGACTGTCGCATTGTTCTACGACCAAGAACCTGAAGTCACAGACTCAGTAATCTATGTATCCTATATATGTATCTAAGATCGGATTGATAGTTTCTATTAAGCCCCCTTTTTGGCCCAAAACCTGCCCTATCTTTTTTCTTTTGTTCTGATGGTCCATCCTAGTGATGGTTACGAAGCAGATTAAGCGTAACTTTGATAAGTTTTCATTCAAATTACAGTATTTACATTGCCTTGATTTGTACAAGTTCGCATCTACATATTGCAAACGAGGTTCTGGTCGAAGGCTGGCCGCTGTCTGATAGAGCAGACGGATCGATAACTAACTAGTTACCTAGTTAACTACGTTATGGGAGGATGCCAGCGAAGCCTCATGCAATCAGACAGGGGTAGTCAAATCAGACAACAGAAATATCATGCATTGAGCGGAGGGAAGATGCTAAAGCGACATAATGAATGGATACAGACCAAAATCCACGATTCTCGGCCTGAAAAGCAAGGCAGGCAGGAACGGAGAGACCGACCATTAATTCGACATTATTATTGTGAGGGGTAATGACGCCGACAGGTTTTAAATGACAGTATAATGACAAAATTACCGAAGATGCGACGAAAAAAAAAAAAAAAAAAAAAAACAAAGAAAGGTGGGTCAATGCTCGATGACACAGTAATAAGGAGGGCAAAAGGGGGTATTGATACGTTTCGCTATTGGCACTACAAATCTGACATAATCACCTAGCTTATATAGTCTGATTTTTTATCTACACTTGTAAGTATATTAAGAAGATTTATTATTATAAAAATTATAGAGTCAGAATTACTAACATAATTTATACTTTACTTTCTAATAAGATATTAGAAAATTAGAGATGAGGACTGTAAAATATTGAATTAAGGTATATAATACATGCTGGATTCAGGGGTCGAGATAGACTCTAAACGCACTTCCTTAGTCACATAACTATTTTCGCATTCAATTCATTTTTATCACTTTTGGAGCTAAAAATAGAGATTATTATAGTTTAAGAATATTAAATATATCAAAAATATTAACATTATTGAATATATATATATATATATATTATTAATCTACTAAATCAAGGCTTTAATTGCTTGAAATAGTTATAAGTTGAAAATTTCAGAAATCAATCAAGAATATATTACACAAGTCAAAATAGTTATTGCATAAGAAAATGTAGTGCCAATAGCGAAAATCCTGTAGTGCCCCTATCAATACCCGGCAAAAGGTGATGATGGGAGAATCTCCACTAGCGAGCCAAGATGACCTTCAGGTCATCTGACCACCACAACATCGGCGAACCCCCAAATTTTCCGACATTCGGAGTATTGTTTAGCATGGTAGAGGGCGCGTCCCACACCAGGAACCCACTCGCTATTTAAACTATATATTGGCATCCAGCGTTCGATCCAGCCTGGCTTTCCCGACCCCCGACGTTGTTTCTTCGGGTTCCGGAGTATTGCGTGATTGTATGCAGCCAATGTGAACTTGCCGCCCAGCCCAGGCGGATCGCGCATCATTTACAGGGCAATGATCACCGCATCCATGGTGCACACGCCGGCGACCCTCAGCAGCTGGTGTTTCCCCGCTACGTTCCCGAATCTATTCCGGCTATATACCGGGATGGCTGGTCACGTCCTTCGGCGCCCGTGTGTGAATACGTGTGTCGGTCCCTGGAGCCGATGCGTGGGCACTGGCATGAGCATGATTGGCCCATCGCCTCCCCGAAGCGAGTGACGTGTCAGCGGCTTTTCATCTGAGGGCCGGCATCATATTTCATCCGCGTTGGCAGTCCCGCCGCCGAGGAGCCTCCCATCCCTATGGCCGCGAATGCTCGAATCGCGCAGGAGCTGGACCAGTTGCAACTGGCCGACGAGCACGGTCCCTAGAATGTCATCCAGGCTGGCGAGGTCGATGAGGCCGACCCATGGCTCCGCCGGACCCAGTGGGCGGTGTATCTGGACGAAGTTGAGCTCGACGCGTTGTCGGCGATCACCGTGCCACCCGCCGAGGATGCGGATGGCATCGAGGCCACTGTCCGAGCCATCTGGTATGCTACATTACCCGTCCAAAAGTCTGCCGACACTCACTATATTCCCGGTAAATCTTGATGATTTTAATCATAAATATCTTAACAAATTTATATGATGTACTATTTTTTAATTATTTTTAAATACTAAATAATTGGTACACAATTCACTTTTATATACAATACTTTTTGTCTAGATTTTTTCTTAAAGGGCTGTACGCCGTCAAAGATAGGTAAAATTGATAAAATCTATTTTTTTGTATAGGAACACTAACAAAAATTTCGACAAAATTTGCCCGATTTCAGACATTCTATTTTAAAGAACTACTGTTTTTATAAATTTAGATATAATCTATAAAGTAATATATAGACTTTACTATTTAAATAATTTTATTTCTAGAAATATAATTATCTAATTATCTAATTATCTATAATTTTAGAGAGATATTATTGCTTAAAGTTAGTCGGTCGGATTTTAGCGATTTTGATTAAAAGCAAGATATTTTAGATATAATAAATTTTTATAATTAAAAAAAAAATAGAGATGTATATAATTTTTATATTAATATATATATTCTAGACATATATTATCTATTTCCGTCGAGATATTCGAGTTTAAATATTTAAAATTTATTAGAAATTTGTAGTGTCGGCAGATTTTTGGCACCCGCTGTACTTCATAATTAGACAATGCTTTCTTCACATTGTCAATCAAGTTACGAATATCCCAGAGCGCGGATTTCCTTATTCGACTGTTTGATCTCCCAGTGATCCAATGGTTGGATTCGTAAGCCCGAGGGAAATCCAGTTAACTAATTGACTAACTATCAAACTATAATATTGCGTGTGGAGTACAAGCCCGCATTATATTCAATTACATACCCTATACCCTGCCCTCATATACACAGGGACAGCAGTATTAGGCGGAACCTAAGTTCTGATCAAGCTAGACTCCCACAATCTTCATGCCCTAGCCTTTAGCGCTCACCTCTTTGGCGCCCACTGAGCCAATGCACCATTCTATGAAGACATCAAACCCTTGGTCCAGATTATCTTCATAAATACCCCAGTTACGTTTAATGAAGCCCTTTAGCTCCGCAAAAAAAAAAAAAAAAAAAAAAAAAAAAAAAACCCTTCGATCGGGTTTAAGTCGGGGGAGTAGGGAGGCAAGAAGACTTGCTTCATACCCGCATTCTCACAGAGTTGGTCTCCGCCCTGTTCGGGTTGGGGGTGCAAGGACGTTTCCAAATTGCCGCAAGTTCCCATGAATATTGATAATAGTAAGCTTGGTACATCCAGCTTCAGCGATCATTTTAGATGTGGTGAGTGACTGAGTGTCTATCATGTCGCGGATCAACTGCAGCTTGGATGCTGGAAGTCTCGGAGCCATATTACAAGGTCTAGTGGAGAAATAATGGGTACAGGCCCTGACAAGATCTCCCAAGTCAGCTTTTTGATATACTTCATAATAGTCTTCCTAGTATTCCGCTTAGATAATATTGCTTATTCTATCACGAGCACTAAGAAGATAGGATACTCGTTTTAGAAGTTGATTAATCCCACGGTACAAAACCATTTGTGCCAACGCCGCCGGATCCGGCTACCTGCCTGTTGTGGTTTGGCGCCCGCCCCCACGCGCACCCCGTTGGGTTTAGTGCGCCTCGATCCGGTTTGGCGTCATGGCGCTAACCCCGAATCATTCTGTCACTCCAGACCGCCTTCCGCTAACGCCGCAGGAACTATATAATCCCCGGTGCGTCGCTCGACTTCCATTCTCTCTCCTGTCTGCCTTTTTCCTCGCTCCCAGGACTGCCGTTCCCTGCTGCGCCTCCTTCTTTCTTGAAACAATACCGTATTATCGGGTAAGTCGGCATGCAAACCCCTGTCGAGCTGAAAATTCCTCTTCTCATCTCCGAACACCAGCTCCACGCGGCATGTCCCAGCTCAGCTATCGAGTCCTGAGGTCTCAATCCTTCTTGGCATTCTACCATCTCACCATGTGAAATTGCCATTGGGAGGCCAGTGTAAATGACCTAGTGTACGGTTATTGAGTACACCACATGGTTGCTTGCTCCTGACTTGCTGCCTGCCTCTGTTTGCACAGCCTACATATCGATTGATTTCATTACCTTCGGCTGCCTCCTCTTTCGGCTGACTCCTAAGCCGCTACACGAAGCGTGATGGCGCATCGGCCACTCGTCTGCCCCGCATGGAAGAGGCCGAATGAGAAAAATGCCTCATTTTGTTCCTATCAGGCGACAAGCATTCACTCTTCTCCACTGGCAGTCATACCGTGGACGTGGCCGTCGTCCAAGCCGCCCGATCCGAGCTCATTGGAGCGCCTCGCCACCACTGACATCTGCTTGATCCCCGTTTTCGCTAGGCTGCAACATAAGGCGCCACTACGGCCCCAGACCTAGTCATCAACTGAGAACTGCCCAACTTCTAACGGCCAATTGAAAAATTGCCGCATATAGAAGAAGCACCTGCGATTCTTAGCGTCATGTATGACCGGCTTGGCACCTTGCTTCTAGCCCCGTTGGGGGCTATCATTTCCAAACGGGAGGTTCCTGATGGACGGCCTCCGCTCGATCTCGGATATCCGACCCAACCATCGCCATCGCCATCGCCTGGGATTAGAACGAATCCAGAACCGATATGGATGCGCGGATCGTCCCATGCTGACGTGGCTATGTAAAATTTGGGGCACGATTGAGGTTCAGCCGAGAATGGCTCTTTCGAAAACCCCGATGAACGGATCTACGTCCGGTTGGTCAAATATAAAGAGAAATCTGGAGACTGTAAGAGCGATAGAGCAAGCTTTCGAATTCAGTACGCCTTCACTGTTGTTGGCTCCCATTGCTTCATTCTCTCCTGCCTCCGTTACAAACCATGGTCTCTATCGATCTGAGCAATATCATCCATTACCAACCTCCCCCAATTTCAAAACCCCCTTTCAAACCACCACTCCTGAGAACCCCTTCTCGTGACTCTTCCCATCCTTCCTTCAATCAGCCCTTCCTGATCCATCCTCTACCTCTGCGGCCCCCGAGCCCATCTCATAAGTCGCTGCAAACACCTCATACTCGTCGACAGAGTCCCTCCCTTGTTGTGTCATGTTTGCCGGACGAAGGCGACACTCATCTGAATGAGTTTGATAAAGAATTAGCCAACTTCAATTTGGCCGAAATTGAGAGCCTGGGGCCTCCGGGATTATGCTCTGGAGGCAGCCAAGGCCGACAAGCAGATAACGTGGACAATGTCCAAAGAGAGGAACTGCATGATGTGCATGGTAGTAAGTGACCTGGTCATCTGCTGACTCCAGTCTCTCGGCTCTCCATCGGGTGTCATTCATTTGAAGCTAAAGCCAAGAGATATTGCCAACTTCTTGTTTTGAAAGTAGGTTCCCACCCCAACGACCATCAAAGGGACAATTTACGGGGCTCTCAGGACGTTGCTACGCCGCAGGATACTGTCGCCTCAAGCTCTGTTGGTTCGGGCCTCTCGTCAGCACCCAGTCCACCTGCTTCTCCAGTGAGAGCTGATGGCTCCGTTTCACCGGACGGGCCATGTCCAACTCAAGGTTAGTCGTGTCTGGCGACGGAGATTTTCCGGGGTTGCTGCTCACCGTATGACTACAGATCATTCATCTGCTGAGTGCAGAGAAACCCAGCTTTCGCTTGCTGGTTGTGAACCGGAGGTGAACTGTGTTACGGCCAGCGGATCACGTCATGCACTGACCAGCCAACGCAACTGCAATGTTTCAAGAGATCACAGGCCACTGCATAGTCCTAGCTCATCTGTTCCAGCTAGAGACGAAACAGAGCCTGCGAGTCAGCAGCTCCTTAGATGCAGCTCTGAGGGCGGTGCAGAGCCCAGAAAATCTAGCCTTATACCTGTCATAAAAGCAAATTCCATCCAGTCGCAGGTGAGAGACCTTTCACCGACTCGCAACAGCCATCCAGGAGTGCGCAACGTCCGCGTGGAGGCTCAATTAACTGATTGTCGTTGTGGCAACGAAACTTTCTCGAGCCCTGTCTCACCTGTTCTCCGACAACAAGAGCAGACAGGTCCCAGATCAGAGGGAGAGAATACACCAAGGGATTTATCCAGGTCGTGCTCCGTATCGGTTGTTGTGCCTGTAACCCGGTCCCATGGATTACCGATAGCAAGGCCGACAAGAACCAGCCGTGCACACTGCACAAGAAAAAGGAAAAGTCGAGCTAAATCCACTTATGACGTTGACAGCGACGATCCTGACGACGGTGACTATACGGATGGGAACGATTCTGGTGCTGGTGACATTGCCGCGTCACCACATCCAGTGAAGAGGCGGAGGCGAACTGTTGCAACGAAAACCCAACCCACACGAGTTCAACGGGAAAGCCCGCACTATGTGTTCTCCTCACTGGCTCCGGAAGAGGCATTTGCAAACCAATATTCTGCAACAAGCTTGCAGGACATGCAAACAATTCCCGTCCGAGGCTTTCTCACGCGGCAAACGTTTCTATCAAGGGTTGTCTACTCGCGTACCTTCGAGGAAGATAGGCAACCCTCTTGTCCATATAGGCCAACGCCAACCAACTCTCGCTTGAACCACGAAAATCTAGACAAGACGGGACAACCTAAACGACCCAGCCACAAAAAGCCATCAGCGCATGCGACTCGGTTCCAGCCCGACGAGGACGAACTACTGATTGAGTTAAAGGAAAAGCGAAGTCTCCCCTGGCCCCGGATCGTGAAGCACTTTCCAGGGAGGACGAATGGTTCTCTCCAAGTTCGCTATAGCACAAAGCTCAAGGAACGAGGAACTGGACGTCTCGGGCGAGGTCGGAGTGGACAGATTCCATGTTCTGCGGCGGCGAGTGCGGCTCCACAAGAGACATGTGGCATACTACCTAGGTCACAAACGGCGAGGAGGCAAGGGGCCGATTCAGTCTCACCAGCAAGACAGCGACACGGCCACCCTCGATTCAGGAGAGCAATTGACCGCTACTCCCCGGGATGATTCCGATGAAATGCACAAGGAGCCTGGGGTATGTTTTAGAATGACTGGTCACAACTCAGTTCAACAAGCCTTTGCCCCTTGAATTCCAACAGAAGTTAAGCATTGGCTGCCTGTACTGGAGATTCTTCAGCTGCACCCTAAGTTTGTGATACCACACTTGGGCGAAGTACTCCTACTGGTTGTAGTCACTGCTATGTATTTCGAAATTTGAACACCATCCTCTGTGTTGCACCGTGTTGAAATGACCCGGCATCATTGTATCTAGCGTCATGCTTCTTCAAGGGACAGATCCTCTTATGTTTGCCATTAAGAATCATTGGTTGGATCAACCCTGACTTCGAGTTCTTCGGTATTTTGTGCGGGCAAAACGTGCATATTGGCTAGTGTTAGTTCCTCAATCTTCAGAACCCAGTAATGCTTGACAAGGCCGCATGGATATTTTGACCACAGACCGTTGAGAGATCCATTTCCATCATATGCATCGGTTTTTCAAACTATGAATTTTGAGTCCAGCCTTCCTATCTGATCCGCCTGGGCTCCCGCTACTATGTAGGGCGAGAAATGGATCGACGGCGTGGGAATGGAGGGGTCAAGGTATTATAAAGAATCGCCGGGTTTATAAACCCAGTCCACCAACAATCGGAATTCTGATTTTCTATCCCCACTTCACCAACAAATCAAATAACGACTGCTCGTTTGATGCCGAAAAGATGGCGCGAGTACACCCCTTAAAGAAGTGCCAGTTTTTGCACGCCCCTGACAAGTGCCCACATTGCAGCCCAGAATACTTTATACCCTTCAAGGATTGGGCTAATAAGTGTGTAGCAGTGGGAAAGCCAAAGACAGTTATAGACGTCGCTGTGACCTATTTGGCTGGTATCAAGGAAACGTCCCTTGAGATAACAGCAATAGGTATCTGTCCCCACAGGAAGTTGCACATGGTCGGAGAGGAAATGCCTGGTGAACACCACAAGAGCGAGAATCTAGCGGATAGCGCTTGGTCAAAGAACGTGACCGCCATATACAACATGTTGAAATGCTTCAATATGGAGACGGCTCACCAAATCCTCCTCGATAAGGCGGACGACGATTTTTATTGCAATGGACCGTTGCGTCCCTTCAGCGAGAAGGATTTTGAGTGCCTTCGTGATGCAGCAGCCGTCGCGCAGGTCTTGTTGAAGGATCACCGCACTATTGAGTCGGTTATATCTCAGATAGAACTGACTGAATTCGATGATTAAATCCAAGTCCCGTTCAGGTACAGACTCGAAATCGTGAGCCCTATGCACTTGCTGACCCAGACATGCGGACAACGTTGTCGCCTTCAGGAATAGAGTGACGGCCCAAGCTCCAGCGAACATGGAATGCACATTTTCCAAGATTGAGCTTAAAATATCTATGTTACGAGCAAATAAATGAGATCATTTGTTGAAGCATAGCCAATTGCACTCCTTGTGACCATCGTCTTCTCACATGTCGTTGACATTAGATGGTTTGGCGTTGATATATGGCGGCTTTAAAGAGAGAAGGTTTCTAATTAGAAGGCTCGTCGTTTGGTGAGGAAATTCTGTTTGCTCTTGTCAAGGGCTACACAAGGTAGCTTTCTATAGGTCAACTCACTAGTAGTTAAAGGTGATTTGTCAAGTCCCCAAGTTCTCCCATTAATGTCGGATTCATGATTCATTCATTTAATCGACCGCAGTGAGAGAATAATTCTGGTCCCAGCATTGAAGCAACGCCTGCGAAGTATTGTCAATGAATATATACACAGCACATTAACCTTGTGAGAACGAAATGCGCAAGAGGCAGTTCTAAGTTGGGAACGCAGTCTCCGCCCGACTGAAACTCGCTATTGCACGCGTCAAGGTGCTATACTTGCGCGTGGGCCATGTCTTCCAGCTCGGCAGCATCGCCAAGAATCAACTTCAGCCTCATTTCTTGCCCGTTGCCTTTTTCCCGTCACTAGGACATCAAACACATGCTCTAAGCATCCACTACCCCAGTCGGGTTCTCACAGATAATCACTTAAGATGCAATCGGTGAGGATGTGGGACTCTAAAGTTCTGGTCAAGGGTGCTGAACTGCGAATCATATCATGCCTGTTTCTACCACGCATCAGGGGCCCGTCTTGACACTGCTGCTATTGCATACTGCATAGCTAGTTCACAAGATACGGCTTATTTGTCATACCTTATGGGCAATAGATCGATTCCACGTGTGTATGGGTGACATGTCACGCCGTCAGTGACATCGTTAATGAAGACCTGGAACTAGCAGAAAGGTATTAGACAAATGAAGGTCAGAGTTGATAATGGAGAGGAGACAGCAACGACATATTCAAAATTGAAAAAAAAACCAAGCTTTGACGGTCTCCCTCTCCAGGTCATGATTAGCCGGCAGTCTTAGAAAAAAATAACAGAAGATAGGATGGTCCTTCCAGACTCAGACGCATGGCATATGATGATGTGGCTGCCGCATGAGAAAACCATCCTCGCGGCTGCTGCGTGAGAAAGCGCATCCTCACATGAGGCCTGTCGAACCTGTAGAATATATTAATTTGACAACTCGCACTTTTCGAAACCTCGAGAACTGCCATCCCTTAGTATACTTAACGTTGAAATACCCGCAAATCTTGACAGCCTTCAGCTGTATTATCCGTTCGACAGCTGTCATATCCTTTGTCTATCTCTTCACAATGTACGTGTGCAAGACCTGCACAGCTTCCTTCAGGTATAAAGACGAACGAGCGAGGCATATGGATGACTATGGTCACTGGCTCAATGCGAAACATGCACTCGAGTTTTTGGCCCTTGTTCCTCTTGCAATCAACATATGGACAACACGAATCACTGGGCTCCACGATATAAGTGCCATACATATACGAACTTGCTCCGCTCTGCAGGCGCAGCGGACCAGCATATGACAGACGTTGGCCATTGACAACCGAAGGCGTCCGGCGAATCTTGCACGAGGAAATTTTTGGACCAGAAGGCAGCCGATCAGCACATGAACGCACTTAATCATTGGGCACCCAAAGTCGCATGCGACATGTGTGATCGAAAGTTCTATACGCTTGCCGCCGCAGATCAGCATATGAAAGTCCAGGATCATTATAGGAATTATTGCAGAGACTGTGATCGGCGATTCCGGAAGGAGAGCAACTTCAAGATGCTGAGTCTCTTCATATCAATACCCTCTTTGGAAGGGGAAGTGTTCTGATCATGACAAACTTCACCAACGGCATCTTCAGTCAAAGACTCACCGCGGCTTCAAAGTCCCGTGCCCTTTCTGTAAATACAATTTCACTTCCGCCAGTGGCCTCACCTATCACCTAGAACAGGCTCATGTCCTAAAGCACCGAAGTTGAACCGTGAAACTATTCTCAGCATGATTCGGGACCGTGACCGGGATGGTGCCATCACCAACAAGCAGATCGAGTCATCCAAAGAAGCCATTGTGCAATATTCCGCCACCACGAATACGTTCAACGGTTCCTATTAGGAGTGTTACCTATGCCACAGGGAGTTCAGCAAGAAATACGCTCTAAACCAGCATCTCAAATCACCTGTGCACAAGCAGAAGGTGTATCGCTATCCGAATGCGAAGAGGGTATGTTGGAAAGAATTTGTTGCTCTAGCTGGATTATTCAGTCACCTAGAAAGTGAGTCATGTGCATACATGAGATTCGAAAAGGTCCAGCAGCAGGTGAGCGACGTGATTCAGGGTGAAGACTCATCACATCGGTTTGATTTCAGCCCGGAATCGTATTCAAAAGCTCCTACGAGCACGAATATTGTTTCTCTCTGCATCACTGTGTTGCACGCGGGTTTGCTGGTGTTTGCATTCACAGAATAGTATTGGATGTCGTTAGATGTATCACCACGTGAGTTAATTTTATTTTAAGGGTAGCAAGAACAGACTATGTCAGGGCAATGGATGTGGTTGAATGCATCAGACAGAGGAATGAGAGTGACGTTGTTGGTCAAGTCACTTAATTCGGAAGATCTGGACGAGAATATATACACAAGGAAGGGGGCTTATGTCCCATATAATGCTCGATTGTTTGAACAACAAAGCCCTAGAATAGCAACATGGTTGCAGGAGAGCAATGTCAGCAAAGTGATAAAGAATAAATGTCCACATCTGACCGCAGCAGGGTACAGTCACTGACGTAGTGTTCGCATAGCAGAAAATCAGAACTCTCATGCAGAAAGTTATACAAGCGGATTGGGAGAACCTGGGTTTAAGTAGCCGTGGTAGCATCACATGGCCTTGTTTCAAGACCGAGGTTCAAGTGTAGCTATTCAGAACCACGATCTCAGACTCCATCCTCTAAGCGCGAGAGCCTAAGAATATACACTATGTCGCAACAAACCATAACCATCATGACCCACTCTTTTCCAAATCTGGCATAGACTTGCGCGGTGGTTCTAAACCGCCATAAACCCTGCCGCCTACAACAGGAACCGCGAGAAAACTGACGGTCTCAGAGGAAGGTGATGAACAACGTATCGTAGTGGTTAAGGGTTGCAGAACCGCGGACCCAAAAACGATTCACTCGTGTGTGGCTGTACGGCCGATTCTCCGTGAGATTCTTGCGAGTGAATCCTCTGATACTATACCTTTTGCGCCAGGGAAAATTATGCAACGCTTTAAACTGAAGGATCATGGCCGCCATCGTGCCAGTGAAGCGTCCCAGCTGATTCTTTTGATTATTAATTTGCTAAAGCACACACGAGGCCCAAAGGTCGGTAAATATGTTGTAGGCTTTCCAAGAGTGCGCCTGGAAAGCCGGCATAATCTCTTAGTATCCGGCGAGGTTATCTTGGGTCAGCATCCAGATGCTCCCAGGGTATGGTCTGGGAGCATCAATCTCCGGCATATATACCGCGCAATGATTGTCCCCCAAATGCTTTATGGCTGCTCGGCATGGCATGTCCCTGGGAACAGTTACACAAGCAGAGGAGGCACGATAATCAACACTGTCCAGAGGATCCAGAGACGTGCTGCCCAGATCATCACATGAGCATTTCGGACAATAGCCGGTGCGGCGGTGGATGTAGAAGCTCATCTGCTCCCAGTGCAGCAACAACTCGAGCAAACATCATTGGAGGCGACGATGCGCATTAGAACTACACCGCTATACGTCGACATGGCCTCAACCGAGGTAGGCAGGAGCAGCGAACAGAGCCCTCTCGACCGCCTCTCGAGCCTCCTCGAACGCAAATATAAGATGCAGCTTGACCGGCTCGAAAAGCGTATACCGCACGTGGTGCCGCCATGGTGGATCCCACCTTTCGTCCGCATCAATGAGTCTGCAGAGGAGGCAATCAAGGAGCACGATGCCGTCGAGCCAGGAACGCTTTGCATCTACCCTGACGGAAGTGGCATTGACGATCACGTCGGAGCAGCTGTCGTAACGCGTGCACCACACGCCAACGGACCCTGTACGAAGCGGACTCGGTATATGGGTACACCCAGAACCTCCACGGTGTACGCGGCGGAGCTGGGAGGCCTCGTTCTGGTACTGCAGCTAGCACTCGACACACCACCAATATGCGTCCCGTCAGATAGGTGCGCCGATGTGTTCACCGACAACCAAGCTGCTATCCAGGCCATCCGGAACCCCAAGCATCCATGCGGGCAGTACATTCTGGTCGAGGTTATTCAAGCACTCGATGAGCTTCGGAGCCAGGGGTGGCGAGCCCAGTTCCGATGGATTCCAGCACATGCTGGAGTGCCAGGTAACGAGGCCGCCAGAAGCAGACCCACTACGAACACTCACGGCAACCACCAAGTCCGCCATTCGCTGAGCGATAAGAGGCGAGTAGGACACGGCCTGGGAGAATGCCAAGCACGGTAAGGAGCTCTTTAAGCTTGGAGTAAGAGCAGGGAAGGCGATACTGGACACGCATATTGGCACACCCAGGAAAATTGGCTCGGTGATCACACAGATGCGTACAGGCAAGATTGGCCTCCGAGCCTACCTCCACGCCATCAACAAGGCCGATACGGACAAATGTCAGTGCGGCCACGGACTGTAGACGATGCGGCACATCCTATTCGAATGCCGTGACTGGGCAGATGAGCGACATCAAATGTGGGCAGGCAAGGCTCCATGCATCGACATCAAGCGTATTCTCTGCAGTCCGCCGATGGCAGTACAAGCAGCCAAGATGATCTTGAGGACTGGACTGTTGGAACAATTCCGAGCAGTACGACCCACGGTACTAAAATACACATAGCGAAGACGAGTGATTTTTGGTATATAGAAGGAGAGGAGGGCCAGGAAAGGCCTGACAAGTACAGAGACAGAACAATCATTGGGGTTATGTGTGGGGAACGACCAGCCGGAGCGGAGGAAGGAAGCAGCTCTGGGAGGGACGGCTTGTTTGTCTGAAAGCGAGGGCGGGGACACCTGTACTTATAGCTGGGTGCTGCATAGCTGCCTTAGGGCGGCTGGGACAGTCTATGAATAAATCAATAAATCAATCAACCAATCAACCAATCAATCAATCAATCAATGGTCTGGGTATTGCCAGGAGCCCTACAACTCCTGGGAGTCACCCGTCAGGACCCTGAGAGGCGCGTGGCCTATCCTAGGAACTACTTGGTCTGAGGCGTGGCGGTTTGAAACTGCGGGCCGTCCGTCGACCCTCCTCCCACATTGGGAAGAAACTTGCCCAGGAAACTCGTGTAATCTCCCAGTGTCCGGCTTGGTGATCCTGGGCCACCACCCAGAGCTCCCAGAATTTGGTATTTGCACTCTCAGGAGCTGGAGGTCCCCTGGGAACAACTCCTCAGGACCTGGGAGTGGTGTGGCCTACCCTAGGATCTTTCTGGTCTGGTGTGAGGGTCTCACGTATACGGAGAGGTAGACAGCGTCTCAAGATGAAGATCAATATTAAGAGCAGCTATAGTCGACTCTAGATACAAGACGTAGCGCGAGGAAGCAAAGAAAAGTAGCTTCCTCACGTTCAGGGGAACCCAGATAAGCTATGTGGGTCCGCCACACCATGTGTCCTCCGCTCATCATGTATGATACATGTATATCCGTGACATCTGGCCAAACAGCCTATATTTTCGCGGGTGGTGACACCAGTACTCGGAAGCGCTGTAGCGGTCAGTATGCACCCGATTGTATTATGCAAGTCATCAGTATATGGACCCATCGCCCCAGCCCTCTGCTCAAGTCCCTCCGACGTCGTAGGTGAAACCACATGCCTAAGTCCGTCAAGCGACCTAGAACTTACTGGGCAATTTACACGACGTGAGAGGGCTCAAGTATAATAGATTTACATGTTCGCTGTCAGAGAGCCGCCAAGGATCTCGAATCGACGACTAGAGACCGAGGCCCAGGGAACTGTATCTTACGCCTCGGAAAATGAGACCATTGATTTAGGATCGAAGACACTGGCCCGCAGCCAGAGCACACAGGGCCAGTGACCCAGAAGGTCCTGAGCATGCGATCCCAGGACCTGACAGGCCACCAAACCGCTAACTGGCGTCCTCTGCCGTTCCAAGACCCGGTAGGTAGTAAGTTTCTCTGCCTAAGACACATAATAACTCAAGGGACGCTAATAGACTGAAGGGATGGGTCTACGATGTTCCCTGATCAAAATCCTGGTTTTCCGCATCCGCTTTGAGCATCTTGGCCACCTCGACCACAGCACCGAGATACGAAGACCATATCTTGAGGCTCTTTTAAATACTTGGGTGAATTCATCATCACTTCGACGTGCAGCAACGACATGATCGCACATCTGCATGTCGATACAGTTGTTGGGGAGGGTCGGAGCGGGTTCGATGCAGTTCAAGTCTGAGGGTCGCTTGAAAGAGCCAGCGGCAATGGGTCTGGCGGTTACACACCGTTTATCATTGGTCATGGACCCGACAAGGTAAATCAGTGCGAGCTACGTGCCTGCAGCATTTGTGAGACAAATGAGAAGAAGCTACCGTCATCACAACTAGAGGCGTAGCATTGGGTGCCTTGGGTTGAGCGAACTTTTGGAGTGGCCAATGTACAGTAACGTCCCTATTGTGAGCCTCCTAATTGACAAACGCCAATGACCAGAACTGGTACAGCTGACCTTGCATCGACCCACCATTGCTTGATCCTCGCTTCAACTTGGAGTCTAGGACTAATTGAGTCCCACAATACGTTAGCGGTTCCAAACCGCCAGGTTGAACGCATTCCATTCTACGGCCGATGGATTGTCTCAGGGAGCACTAGGGGAAGCTGGGGAGAGCAGAACTCTGAGGAAGGGAGCAGAAGAGAGAGAGAATCAAATTGTCTGTCTGTAGCACCTGTAGGAGAGAAGAAGAGAAGCTATCTACTGCCACCTACAGGTGCGCTGCGGGTGGTCAGGGAGGCGGTGGAGAACTGCTGGCAGAACCCCAGTCCCAACAGAATGTACTTGTATCCTTCTGACAGACGGGTCATTGTTGGGGAGTTCTGCAGGAGATCATGTGCTCCGCTGAAGACTGTGGGCTTAATTCACTGCCCGCAGCAAGTCCCAGTGCACCAATTCTTTCGCTCGGCAAACCTTCATACATATCCAGTGGTCTCGTAGTTATACATCTCGGTTAACTAACTAGTTAGTGAGCCCTCCCACTTTACAGCTGACTAAGACCAGTCGCAACCGGAAGAATATGGCAGAATGCTAACACATATTGGCCAGACCGAGGTCGCCCAATCCCCACATCCTTCCTCCTTCCTTCTCTGTCTTCGTATGTCCTCGGGATTGCGATAGGCTGTGTGGAGAGCGATCTTGTCCGGCAGTTAAAACATTCGCTCCGCAACTCTTCCACTCTCGGTCGATTCGGCGAGATTCATCTTCTCTATTAGATCGCACCAACCTTGAATGCTCTGAAGCCAACTATCACATCAAAACCGCGCTCATCATCTTGCCATTAGTCACTATCGATATGGACCCTCATCCTGCCAGAATAGCTATCTATGCTTGTGTTACCGATATAGACGGCTGCCCCCAGCGGCGTCACGTTAAAGTTTGGGAATCCTTTTGCGAAGATATCCTAAATCGTCCATTCAATGCTACACTTCACCCGGCCGGATACGACCACGTCCATATTCCCGCTGATTTCGACTCATCGAAGCCTCTCAAAAGATGGTTTATTCTTGATTTGGATGTTACTCAACCACTCAATAAGGAGGATGTTTTGCAACTTCCACATCAGGTATACCTGGCAAGTCAACGAAGTGGCAAATTGTAAGACGCCCAGTCTGATTTTTTTGATAATGATTCCCCTTTCTAATTACACAGATCCTTCATCCCTCGCAATCGATGGGCTGAGAAGGCAAAGGGCAGGGCTATTTCGTACATTTGGGGGGGTAAAGAGGAGCAGGAGATTGTTGATAATATGCGAAAGGAGTTCAATGACGAGAAGGAATGAATAACAGAGCCTGAGCCCTCACATTCATAACGTTTAAGGAGTTTCTGGAGGCGTTTCTCCTTTGCACACGGGATAATATTCGTTGTCCTTATGCTCTTGCCAGTCGTGGACGTCTTCACGCTGATGAGGAGGACAAGTTACTTGATTTTGAATCGCAGGTCGACATCTGGCGATGTAAACTGTTGCTTCGTGACCACACAATCCAAATATTCCTCGAATATTGTCGCACATCTATTTTATTTAGCATTGCCCTGTGCCCTGTTTGCTAGATTCTTACTGCTGTGTTTGGAAAGTAGAACTTCTGGGGTTCTGGACAGGACAGGAAAGATGAGTCAAAAGTACCTGAAAGTTATAGTTGTTAATGTCACGCTGTAATAACCTGAACTCTAAACTCACTTCGAAGTCTCAAGGAGGGCGATCGTCTTTGAGTGGTGCTTCCAAGGTTCAATGTTGTTTAATGTAAAGTACCAAGGGGGTCATAGCCGTATTTATAGACCTTTCCGGGGGCTTGAGCGCTCATGAGTCCACTTTATCAAACTTGTGCTCATCAATGACTGACCCCGACGGTGTGCATGTTGGCAAGGCCGTCTTCAACTATCCCCATAGAGAACCTTCAGTGACAGGGAATGAGCGGCGCACGGCCAGTGAATTCTTAGCGCCTGGTCCACTGTCAAGATCAGCAGCAACATTGGTCGACGAGCCAACCCAATTGCGCCTCCTAGCGCCGGCCCATCTCGTCTGACGCGGCCGAAGCATGAATTTGAATGGATTTCTCCTGTACCATGTGCGATCAGTGGGCCGAAGTTGTATGAGGCTGCACGCTCCTTTCACACCCGCAGTGCGAACAAATCAGAGCGGCTTGTTCCCTCCTTAGCTTGCGATACTTCTGCGGGCCTGCATAAATCGAAGGAGCAGCAATCTTCTGCCGCGTTGTTCGTTCAAGCAAGGCTCTTACGAAGGAGGGGCCGCGTAAGACCACAATAAACTTGATGCGTTCTTGTTCGTATGCAGGTTCCCCGTCGGCATGCCCCTTTCCACAATTAGAAAACAGGTCAGGGGGGGGCCCTTTAGCTCTCAGTAGTATGTGCTGTAATTGGCTTATATAATATCGGTCACAGTATGAAATATGTGGTATCTAGGGCTATTATATTCTTGAAATATTATGTTTTTCTTTACAGTAGCTAATAAATAATACTAGTTTTCTATTTTTCACTACGCTATGGCAGAGTACACTCCTGCTTGGTGGCGATATCGCTATACCAGAATCGAAGATCTAATCGATACTCATGAGACGCCTTCGATCGAGAGTTCTGATAATCAAGACGATGAGGAGCTCTTTGAGAGTAGGGATAATGAGCTTCTGTATAAGCGTCATACCCCCAAGGTAAATATATATTTATACTCTCGATAATATTATTTACTAGTTAATTACTAGTAAACTAACCTCAAAATAAAGAATAGCAATCACTCGCCAATACCTTTTACTCAAGGAACGATCAATCCAATCTCTGCTGCAGAAATTGAGTTTATACCGCTTCTACCTGAGTATCCGAGTACTCATCCTGATGGATATACATATGTGGTGAATCTTCGCCATATGACACCAAAAGAAAAAGCGAATGCTCTGAACGCAGTAAGTATATACTAGTAAAATATTAGTTATTTACTAGTTACTAATAAATTTAGATCCAATATTCCCACAAACGAAACGGCCCAGCAGATAACGTTTTCTGCTCATTTCTTGGTTGTTATACAACCAAAAAAGCTTTTACATGCAGTGGCATCAAGCATTGCCAATATCTTGATGAGTATCTTAACGGGATGCCTCATATATCAGTGGACAGCGACCTTGTTGGCAAAATCTTTGCTTTTCGCGATCAAAAACAAGAGCTTTATCGACATGGACAGCGTCAGCGTTATTCAACAGGGTAAGGAAGCTATTTACTAGTTCTCTACTAGTTTTTTACTCATTATATCTTTTATACTAGACTCTATGAAGCCGCCCAAACAAGATTCACCCAACGTACAGCATGCAGCAAATATACCCCGACATGCAAGCTTGAGTTTCGACAATATCATGTCCCAGTGAGTATAATATAGTATTATTTATCAATATATTACTAGTAACTAACTAGTATACTAATATTTAGACTGTGTCTGGGATCTTCCATCCATACCTCGCATGCAAACACTCCTCAGCAAAAAACGCAAAAGACCATTTCAATCAAAGTCTTATAGGAAGACAGTCTAGTTTAGACTTATCTCTCCTTAAATATCTTGTGGAAAGAGGCCTACCACAAGATAAAGACGAATCTTGCGCTTGTGTGTATCAAACAACAAGTCGAGCGAGCACTGCAGTAAGTATTTCTGGCGATATACTAGTTTTATACTAGTCATTTACTAGTATTTAGGTTTGGTTCATCCTCGGGGTCGTGGTACAATCCAAAGACAATTCCCAAAATGCACAGTACAATTTCGCTCTTTTGTGCCTCTTGATACTGAGCGATATCCATATATCATCTTCTACTCTCGTGGTATTCATAACCATATCCCACCACCACCAAGCCGGCCACCATAGGAGCTCATCGAAGATATCTCTAGCCTTATTAGTAGGCTACAAACACCAGATCTAACGCTAATTAAGTAATATAAACTAGTATTATACTAGTATACCCTTTTACTAAGTTATCTTAGGTATGTTTTTACGAAGCAACAGTCTCCGAGATTTCTGTCGACAATATGGCTATCATACTCTCTCCTCACTTCATCAGAGCTTTGCGAAAACAGAGCGATTCTCTGCAATTATTGCGAAGCAACGTGCTTTAATATATCCATGTGGCAGAGAACTAGCAGGACTTCGCTATGAGCTTAAGCGAGATGAAACACTCCAGGTAGGTAGTTTTACTCGTATAATACTAATATAATATTAATATTTACTAGGGTTACGTTCGTGGTATCAAAGATGATGAGGCAGGAATCTTTATTTTTTGCGCGTTTGATGAGCAGCTTCGTTATCTCGCATCTCTCGAGAGCTTTGAAGTTGATATGTCTTACAAAAGAGTCAAGGGTGTTATGAATGAGGTAATCTTTGCAACACATATTGATGGGCATGGGAAAGGTAAGTCTTCTAAACTAGTATTATACTAGTTATTTACTAATTTTTCTTTTTAGTGATTACCCTTTGCCGTGTGTACACTGATCAAGAGACTACAAAAGGATATCAATATCTTTTTAGTTGGGTATTTGATCTCATCAGAGAGCTTATAGGCCATCAGATTCGATTCTACTATCTTCATGGTAGTGGAATAAAATCGATTGTCTGCGATATGTGCCCAAAGCAGATGGCAGGTAAGTTAAACTCTACTAAACTAGTATCCTACTAGCTTTTAACTAGTTTTAGGGATTGGACGAATGCTGCAAGGTGTTGGTCAAAAAGATGAAACGTGGAGATGGCATGCGATGAATATTCTGATATTCTGCAAAATCCATTTTCAACGTACAGTGACAAAATTGATACCAGAGAGTTCTGATCCTCATGATTCATCTTGGCGAGATGCTCGAGACCAACTTCTTAGTCTTCTTACTTGTCAAACAAGAGAAGACTACTTTAAACTGACAGAATTGATCACAGGTATTTACTAGTATTTTACTGGTTTTATACTGGTATATATACTTAACTAACTATGTCTTTTTAGAGCATCGTCCGGAGCTTGCCAATTGGGCTCAACATAAGCAGATTCCTGTTATTGCTGCTGGTCTTTGTGCTGCATGCTCTCCTATCAAAAAGGAGTCTTTTGAGTCAACAAGAAACCATACCAATTCAGTGGAGCAGAGCCACTATAAATCCTACTGGATGGGAACGCAAGACTCTTTGTTGGGTGCTGTCGTTAAGTATATTCTCCTATTTACTAGTATTTTATTAGTATCTAACTAGTTATTTAGATCACGGACTCTTGATCAACGCGATATTGATCAATTTCTTCATCGAAATCAATTCGATATACGCCATAGCTATCATGCAGATGATCTTACTACAAGATTTGGGTATAGTCTACGACGCGAGGGTATAATTACTAAAATCTTGATTTATTTTATAGTATTAATGCTAATATTCTTTTAGAGAAAAAGCGTCAACGTCGATATCAAGAACAAGAGGAAATTCCCCCAGAGGATCGAGAGCTATATGAATTTAGTTCATCTGGCCATTCAATTCAACGCGCAGGGTCAAAACGAATAAAGCGAGGTAGCAGTCAAACTTCTACTCGCTCTAGTCGTTCTATGTAAGTCAAAAAGACAAAAAGAACTAGTATCTTCTTAATATTTTACTAATAAATCTTAGGACCCCATCTTCAAATCTTACTAGGGCTACTATAAATCGACAGCAAAATCTCAATAATACTCGTGAGGAAGATCTTGAGAGACGAGAAAGGGAGATTGAATTAAGAGAGAGAGAGAGCTTCGTATTCAGGAAAAAGAGCGTCAGTTAGGAATAGTATCAGAATAAATCAATTCGCAAACTTACAGTAACTAGAAAACTAGTAAAAAACTAGTAAACTAGATATTTTTTTTAAAAAAAAAAACTTTTTTTTCCAAGCCATGAAATGTCAGAACGATAAAAAGAAATCAGAACGAGCAGTCACCAACCCCCTAAGAACGAAAACTAGTAAAAAACTAGTAATTTACACCTCAATATCATCCGAAGCAGTCGTAGTAACTAGGTCAGCTTCAGCTTCAGCTTCATCAACGTAAAGTGGGTTGAAAAAATCGAAGTTGTCGCAACGCCCGTAGTTCTCCTCACGGCAGCAGCCTAAATACTAGTTAATATATCAATTTTATTAGTAAAAAGATAAAAAAACATACCAGCCTTGTCATCAGCATCCTTGCAGGGCTCGCAAGGGACTTGGCCATCCAATTCTTTCGCCATACGGCGCATCTTGGTAAGATGGATCTAAAAAAGGTTAATTTACTAGTAAAAAACTAGTAAACAAAGACTTACATCCTGGTTCGCCTTCAACGGAACATCAGGCTTGATCTCCCCTTCTTCCTCCTTGCGAGCATCATAAGCATCACGAAGCGCAACGTAGAACGCTAAAAATACTAGTTAGTTACTAATAAAAATGATAAAAATATTAAAGAAAACCCAACGGGATTTACTAGTAAAAACCTAGTAAATCCCGCCAAGAGTAAGACTTAAACAAAGAAATGCTCAAAGAAATACTCTCAACACTTACCTTTTGCTGCATCCAGGCGCCCGGCAAAAAACCTCACCGTGGTAAAGACGGTAGGTATTAAGCATCTTTCCCATTTTATATTAATATCCAACTAGTATATCTGCAAGAGATTCGAGAGAAGAGGGTATAAAGGTATACCTCGGTGTGGATAGTAGGCAGCTCGAGATCGGTGCTATCTTTGAACGATTTGTACTACTAAAAAACGGACTTTACCTAAATTATTAGCTTTTGTTTTAAATCATCCTCTTCCATCATTCTCGCTGGGTATAATCGAATTTCTGAGAGGTATAATACTTACACTCAGAGTGTAGGACGGCATGATGTCGGGTTGTAATAAAAAACTGGTAAAAAAGTAGTATTGGGGGTGTAGGTAGAGAGGAGAAGGAAGGTAAGGTAAGGTAAATGAAATGGGGGAGGGATGAAATCTATGTTGGCCTTAGGCAAATATACGCCCCACATACTACTGAGAGGTAAAGGGGGTCCACCCCGACCTGTAATCACATTTTTGCTGACTTTCAGTCACTTGCTTCTAAAATTATTCGCCAACTACTACATGGTCCTCTTGGTCTCGTCAGTACATATATTCGGCCCTGCTTCCAAATTCTTCGCAAGCACGCTTACCATAGCGAGATCATTAGTTATCTCAATTGTACCGCACTCGAGACACCGCTTCTTGTCTAGTAAAAAACGTCCGCTGCATGGTACGATGTATGGTCTCGCTGAGAGTAAAGCATACATGAAAGCTAGTAATCAGCGAAGGCTCTTCTGATACAGGGAGAATAGGCTTACCTCTCTCGTTTTACGTCAGTTCTGTGAAACGCACCTCTGTATACTCTGAAGATTAGCCGTCCCGTCAGTCATTCGGCAATGGACATCATGGACAGCAGAGACGTACCTGTCAGGGTTGGGCGGTTGAATATCTAGTCAGTAATAGGTTCTATGAGAGGAGACACTCGGAGCTGCCTTCACTAGAAGGGGAGATCGTGGCCTTAAATAGCTTTTGTATCACCGCATGACCTTACTTTGGGACCGGAGTCAAGCATGGCTGCCCAGAACAGCGAATCCAAACCTCGGAGCCATAATTCCCAACTGCGAGGGCAGTAAATATACCACAGTCATGCATTGGACTGAAGCCCCACAGCCCATTATTGTTCAAGCCTTGGCATATTCTATCGCAGCAGACCATTGGGGAGCTGTTGTCCGCAATTGACTTGATAGGAGAACAAATTAATAAAACTGATATCCCGACTTCGATCATCAATGCTTGCCTTGCAATGACTAGGCTTCCAGGCTTGAGGCCTAATCCGTTGTCGTCACAGGCAGCCCATGAATCAATCAATCAACAGAACCCTCGACCTTACGACAAGGTATCTATTCATGGAGAAAATGTGCATGCTGGAGACACTCCACTGAAGGCTGGGAACAGTACTTGAGGTTCCAGGAGCTCCCAGGACAGACTAATACGCCCCTGGAGACGTTAGACTGAGAGGCTCCTGCTAATAATATGGGGCTGGGGTCATTTCTGATCCCAGGAGAATGAATTTCCTTCCCAGGGCAATTATCATGGTTCCCAGGGGACCAGAAGCTCACAGGAGGAGATTTAATTGTTCCTAGAAATGAACACCCTTGTCCTGGGAATGGGCACCTTCTCCGCATCCTTCATGGGCGTCGTTGGCTATTATTAGTTCTCTGGCGTGTGATCTGGCCATTTCAAACTCCCTCCCATGCACGCGGTCGGCCTGAGCCGACTAGTTAGAAGTAGCGTGATGCATCCATCTGTGGCAGGGACTCTATTCTTGTGAGATAAGCTGGATTCTATAGTGTAGACAGCGCCAGTGTGTTAAGTTGTCATCGCATCCACGGTGGTCAACATCCGTTGGTGATTGACGGGACACTCTCTTTCCCCTGGTATCCATTTCCTGTTGGATACCCGGTCCGATTCCAGCAGCATGTATGTACGGGCATCGTTGATTCCGGTATCCTCTTATTTCCAACGCTTGTTGTTCGCTGCGAATGCGACGATAACTTTGACAAGCTTGGTGGAGGATGTCTACACCACAGTATGACTTACTTCGCCCGAATTAACCACCAGGTGCCGAGGGATCGACCACGCTACTTCCATCACAACGTATTGCTCGGATTACCGATGGGAGGAATGAGACACTGCGGTACCATCCCTATGTCCATTAACAGGTGATGCAAACCGCTATCTAGTCTATTCCGGCTAAACCTTACGCGTCTAAGCTATACCTATTTTTTACAGTACTATTTTTGACTGCCGCATATTGACGTCATGCCTAGAGGCAGGTCGCAGCTCCACAGGCTCACCCCTGTCCCAACATTACGCTGGCGGTTCTAAACCACGAGGTGGAACAGTCACTCCATCGCCAATGAAGTCACGTGTACTTTTACAACTCGCCGGCCATTTTAGAGAGGGATCTCCCATGCTGGGGATCACTTACTTAGCTGAAGACAATGGGCTTTATTGTATGGATGACTTGGACCGCCGGCTTTGGCATGTAGCCTTACAGAGACCATTTTCTGTACTCGTCGGAACGCCCACGTTGCTTGCACTTTTTGACAACGCCAGCGCCTAGTAAGGCAATAAGTATAGTGACCCATGGAGGCATAAGCAGTTAGTACTAGCCTGGTGTTTATATTGTATTAGAGATTTAGATCCAGAGATTTTAATCCTATGAAGATGGTAGTCAGCAGGGCTAAGGCCAGGATGGTTACTATACTATCCTGGACGCCAGTTGACAGATTGAAATCTTAAGTAGACCCATAGCTCTGGACGTAGGTCCGGCTTGGACGTGCATCCACATCCAGCAGTATTTGGTTCCCAGTCATCGACCCTAGATCCTTGTACGTGAAGCCACAGCCATCCCACTAAAGCTCTCTAGCACAAGACGTACATTACCTGAGCCCTGATCTATATGGATGTCGATCATGAGATTGCCGTCACTGATGGACCCGCAACAAGCAATTTAAGTCCGTTGACGATATATATCTACCCAGGCCAGAAGTCCCCGTCCTTCAAGCCATGGGTCCCACTGTCACCCGAGATACTCCCTTGCATCTTTTGTGCCTTCCTTGAGCGTCTCTGCCGCCTCAATTATATCCAGCATGGTCTCCTCACGCCATTGCATGATTTCCCCTTTGTATTGGCTCTCTTACCAGAAGAAGCCTATACTTAATGGATTGGATCTCGCGATAGCCTGATGTGGAGGAAGACTGTGTCCTGTGACGGATTGGATCTGGCGATACCCTGGCGGGAAGAAAACTATGGCCTATCCTGTGATGGATTGGACGGGGACCATCACACGGCGGGCCATGGTGTCTTTGGAATTATTTTTATCCCCGGGACTACGGTGTGCTTATGACAACTTTATTCCTGGCCACCTCACAATTTAAAGGAAACTTGGTACGATTGGAAACAGCGGATCCTAAGAAAATTGTAGATAGTTGCAATGAGATCCTTAATCAGAATAGCGAGGATGACGTGTGTTTGTTGTCTTCTGATCTTAGCTTGCTCTCTTGACCACATACCCACCGCTTTCAGCAGTGAAAGCGGTGGGGGGACTGGAAACCACGGTTAGTGTATGTGCGTCAAACCAATAGATCTTCGTTCGTTACTAGTTTCGGCTTCGGGTAGAGTAAGTACATACTAGAGGCGTTAGTTGTCTTAGTGTCTCCAGAATCAATGGGGACGTACTAGTTGAGTGCCAAGAAAGGACCAAAATCCTCAAGCATACGCCGAAAAAATAAATACTTGGCCAGTTTCACGAAGGCGTATGCCTAGACAGACATCCGCGTCACACATCTTGCTGTATTCGCATGCCTTCTTCATCAGACTTGATTTACGGCGACGTTGTTTCTGGCGCTTTGGTCTCTTGCTCGAAACAGATGGACTCGGTCGGGGGTCTGTGGCAGTCATTTCTAACGACACTTCCACGATTAAGGAGAAATCTCAAGCGACAGGTAGGATATAGACAACTGAATGTCAGAGAAATAAACCAAGGAAGCTAGCTCTTTAAGTATTCTCAATCTTGTAGACAAAGAATAACTTTGGAATTGTCAAAGTTGAAAATGGTTGAAAGCGCTTTGGCGGTTTCTATACTTACACTGGACCACGGTTTTCTGGCCTTGCTAACAATGATCAAAGGTAATAAAGAGAATACTTTGTTAATGAATTGAAGAGTACATTTTGGGATCAAGTCTGAAACAACCTCTTCGGCTCAACGTGTAGTGTAGTCGCCAAACAGTCGTGGCAGGTTTATTCCCACGACCATTTCACCGCTGTGCCGCACCAAAAACGAAGCGGTATTGAATCACTTTTGGAATTAGATCAGGCGAGAGGACGTTATTATACGATTAAACGATCAATAACAAATAGTTAACAGGTCAGACTAGTTAATAATTAAACTGGTGTAAACTGACTAAGCCGATGCCTTTTGTGTTAGTTAAACAGGCCATGTTTATGAGGACCAACGCGGAAGCTTCTAAATAGACTATCGGTTCCGGTTGAAAGGCCGCAAGTGAACGTTGTGGCACTAAACCCGGAGCCAAAATATTAACACTGGCTAAGATTCAAACTACAACTCTAGCGCATCTCAGTAAACAGATCTAGGACGCATTGGACAGGAGGACAGTTCATCTTCTACCTTCAAGGGAAGTTGACCAATACAACTCTGGTCTGACAACCGCCAACTGTGCGCGTCACGGTTCAAAACAGCGAGTTGGTTGAACCTCGCCAATGACAGAACTCGGCCCGAGAACCACCAAATAATTTCCAGATACGCCGCCTCTACTGCAGGGCGATGATGATCTGGAACGTGACGCAAACCAATCCCTATCTCCTCGAAATAGGAGCCTCAAGACACAGGTGAGGCGAGCACTTTGCTACTCCAAGGTGGAGAAAGGATAGCAGCCAGCGAAGGATGCTTAACACAAATCAAGATTATGATTGCTCAGCTGTCACTTTCTCTCCAAGTCTTGATATATTAAAAGCACGCGAGATATCCGCCTCCGAGGTTGGTATGAGCATGCCAAAGAACTGTATGGATCAATAGGT